AAAAAGAAAAACTTTGATTATCTTATGCCTCGGGAAACAAACCGTTTTCCGAAATTAAAGAAGATTCATGCTCACCATTTCCAGCATCTGATCTCTTGTGTATGACTCAGCAGAGATGCTTAGTAAGTCCATGACCTGTAGCAATTGGATTTTCAAGGTGAACAAACAGTTACGTGTTTCAGTTAGAACTTTACCTAAGCCACATAATGATCACAATTAACTCCTAGCTATACCTAAACAGAAATCCAATAAGTAAAATGTATAAACATTTACCCTCGGATGGAAAAGGTCCTCATATTTTGATGCCAACAACAGTGAAGTAAGGCCAACTAACTGCAAATCATTCTTCTTGACCCTTGCTAATGATAAGTAGTAGTCCAGGAGTGTAACCATGAGAAATAGAGTTTCTTGCATCAAATCAAATTTCAGATGGACCTAGATAAATAAAGTAAAACCCTGAAAGTGGGACCAGGGAAGTATGTGCAAGCAAAACGAAAATGTATAAATGCAGAATAACTAAGACATACTTCAATAAGCCAGTTGATCAATATGCCACGCATTTGGGGTGTTATTTCCTTCTGAGTCTCCATGTAGTTTTTGATAGGCTGATTCTGTGCCTGCAGTTAGAATCAGCTTAAGAAATCGGAGGTCGAGATATAAAAGCATGTCTTTCCTGGGCAGAGGAGAGGGTAACTTGTGGTGTTAGTTCAAGTGCAACGGATAAAAGTATAATATTAACTCACCTCTATAACCCAATAATATTGATAGATGTCATCAACATATTCAGTAACTTCAAGATGATTGCAACTATCATAAATGTTTGACAAATTGTCCAGCTCTACATTTCCACATAGCTCCTTCATAAGCTGCATATTCACGTCAGCTGTCTAAAGCTCTATGGAGGGAGGGAAAAGAAAAGAAAAGAAAAGAATGATCTGAAAGAACAGATTTTACACTAACCTTTGATCTTGCCATCAGTAAACACGTAAAAGACTTCCTACGATCAGATTTCCTCCTGGCAATTGACAATTCCGGTGTAGCTAAGCTGCCACTACTACTAGAAGGAACTTCCTTTTGATGAGGTTGCTCAGCTGAAATCTCTGATGTTGCATATTTTGATAGGGAAGATGTCCTAACATCCACCAGCCTTTTACATGGAATGGAAACTCGAGAGGTGCATTTGTGCACACCTGACATGGAGTTCGACTTTGAACACTTTTGTGAATTGAGACTGCTAGCAGTAATTTTCAGAACTGTCTGGAACATCCAAGTCAAAACAAAGAAAAGAGTTTATCTGTAGATACAGAGACATCAGATATTAATAGGACTTTGAGAGTGAAAAACTCCAATAGTTATTTTAAAATCATTGCCTCCATTTGTTTTACTTAGAAATTTAGAGCGATACTATGATTTTGAACTGACTGAAAAAAAAAATATAGGAAGGGAAAATCGCTAAGTTAAAAGAAACAACAATAAGCTGGTCGCTGATGTAAAATTTCATTCTACCCGAGCATACTCCCCTCCTGGTTAAGTAAGACTTTAAGGGAATATCTAAGTTTGTTTTATAATGATTAATCTATTGAGATAAGAAAAGGGAACCAACTAAAGTACGGATAATGTGATCTAAAACTAAATTGCTTCGTTCCAACAGGAGAAATTTGCAACCTAATATTTTCTTCCGGCACTACTAGTATAATGGACAAGCCAGATTGACTTCTTATCTATGTGCCCTTTCAATGAGGTCATATACAACAGAACAAAGGGAGTATTAATTTCTTGTCTCTTGAGTAATTTGGAAGATTTAAAATAGTATAATTTCTCCAAAAAGATTAATGCAGTCACCGTCTTCAAGTTAGAGCTGGAAAGTAGCTACAAAAATGTGAGAGAAAAGGATAATTATTTTAGTTGGATTGCAAAATTTGGCATTCCAGCCGCTATTCAACAATGATGAACGCAACTCACTATTCATGGTACTATTTCCTGCTAGAGATAGGGGAAGGAGAAGAGAGTGAAACATGACAAATGCTCCATTTACCCTGACTGATTTTCTTCTCAATGCTCCAACTTCCACCTTAGCTTGACCCCGGGGAGCCCTAAAGAAAGATAAGCCACAAATTAATTAAGAACATCGAGTTATGTATATGCCAACTCAATCAGAAAATGTCAAGCACATAGCTCAACCTACGATGACTTGAGAAAACTTGCTCCGTTAGACTACCTCTTACTCAAAGGGATTAATCAATATAATTTACAGTTTATAACATTTATATAAGAGCCCAACCAGTCAAGTACTATAATTTTGAAGGAGCAAGACAGATTTTTTAATGCTCGCATGTTAATATCAAAAATGTTGCTGTGGAGAAATTAACAACTAGAGCACAGTATTATAGGCACCAGAATCAAGGCAAGCAGCTAGTTTACTTCGAATATTCAATTTTAGCTTAAAAGCAACAGTATTACTTGTATTTCAAACTCGACATGTTTAACCATTACATTTTAGCAAATAATCAGTTTAGTTCTTTTGCTAAAGGATTCTGTAAAAGCAAATAGTTTTACTTGCTACCCTTTGGAGCCTTCCTACACTACTGATGGGCTGATGGCTAGATAGTATATGTGTATTCAAGAGATTGCACCCCTTGAATTGCTATTTTTTGAGTGTTTTGGTGGTATAGTTCATGAAAATTTAATGCTTTTTTGTGACATGTCATGTAAGTGAACCAACGATTAAAAAATGGCCAAAGTATAAATATGAAGTGCCCGAAGTTAGACGTGTTTGTTCCAATCTTGAAGTAATCGCGTCATAGGCAATGTGCAGAGAGAAAATTGAATAAGCTGACACAGTCAAACCTAACATGCTCATGCCATACAGGCAGAATGTTTTGAGCTTACATGGTCACGCGCCGACACGACCATATAGATCACTGAATATTTTTGAAAGGGCTGTACTGTCATTTAGACATAGTTAACGGAGGCACTACAAAAAGAAATTTCCTTAGGGAAAGGGAGTTCAGCTCTAAGGAAGAACTTACGGGTCATTTTGTTGATGGTATTAGAATAACTAATGCCAATATATAATACTGCACAAAAAAATACAATTTTTGGTTGGCCAATAAGAAAAAATATACTACATGACTAATGCAACATTTGGTTGGTGTTGTTAAATAATATCTGCATTAAGTTACGTGGGAATCTATATATTATTTTATGCGGGATAGAATGTGAAATAAGAATACGTCTATTAGCAATGCGGATTAAACTACTTAAAAGACAAAAAAAAAAAAAAAAAAAAAAAAACTTAAAGTAATTCATATATAACATTCTCCCCATTATCCATCACCACATAAGAATTTCTTCATTATTAATCAATGCATAAACAATCCTACACTATAATCCCCGCATAACTAGTATGTGGACCAAACACCCCTTAAGGTTCAAGGCAAGGAAAGTGGTGACTTGAACTCGAAATCAAAACTTTGAAGGAGGAAGAACTTGAACTTGTACAATTTATTGCTAGATTCTCCTCCCCAAATTGCAGTAATATACTTGGACTTCTATTTTTGCTACGGGCTGTCTTAACTCCTCCATGGAGTAGATATCTTTGTTGGTATTTTTTATGAGGTTTGGCGTATTAATTTTTTGATTGGTAGGTTGAGAACATGTTCAAATTAATTATTTAATTGTTCAAATAGTATATGCATCATCAGCACATGTATTGGCTTCATGATTTCCGAGAGACATGATGCCTCCTCAAAGAGTATACTATTTGGTGCTTCAGACTTCTTCAGCAAAGTACTTAATCTGTTCCCCTTCCCCATCTTCTCTCCTTGAAGCACATATACCTCACATGGTGCCTGCTATAGGCAGAATTTCCCATTCTTTCTACCAGGAAATGATTCACTTACAGAAACACACAACTGCAGAATAGCTAAGGTCAACAATTTAAGTTGATACAGGAGATGATTATTTTTTCCTCTGAAACTTGAGCATCTCTGTCATATATGGATCTTGGTGGACTAACATCGCATTCAAGAATCAAGTCCAAACTACTAATGGTCGAAAGAGAACTAGAAGTAAAAGAACTTACATTCTAGCCGAGGCATCACCAACTCGATTTCTCCGTATGTTGCTGTGGTTGCTTAACTGTGGTAAAACATCTCCTGCGGCCTTAGGCTTTGCCAAAACTGAAAAATAGATGAAAAGCCTAGTATTCATCAATGAAGTTATGGTAATGGTACTGAACATCACATACCCAAAGTAGAGCATCTAACCTGAAACACCACTTATTCCTTTGCCTTTCTCCAGCTTTTTGGAATTTACCTACAAAATATACAGTTTTTACATTGAAAAGACATTTTTCTAATGCCAAAGGTTGCAGCCTTGCAGCACATGACAACAAATTGAGACAAAAGTATAAATATTTTAGTGACAACCTTCTCTTTATTGTTCGTGTCCTCTACGTTCACCTGCTGTAGTATTGGTAAAGACCGCCTTCACGAAAATAACATAAATACGTCAAGTAAAAGGCAAGTCATGAGCTTATAAAACGTTAATGAAAGATATCTGGGACATGCTAGAAACCTTGATGGCGGTAAAGCATTCCTTCCAGTTCTCCTCGATAAACCAAACAAAAAAGAGTTAAAACTTCAAGACAACTAAAGAGTATTAATATTACTTTCATCATAGAAGTCAGAGCATATATAACTATGTTTAAGATACCAAAATACCTGATTCCAGTGGTAACTGATTTACGGACTTGAATTCTGGTCTTTGGGCCATCAAAGGAGGCTTTCATATCTTTGCGTGGTGCTACCCATACACAAAGGAAACACATCGTTTTGTAAGTTGTAACTGACAATTTTTTCCTATATCCTATTAGTGGAAAAATTCTCACCCTGTGTCAAGATTTGCTTGTCATCAGTAGCTTTATTCAAGTTCGCCCTCACCTTTCCCTATTTTGTGCAGAAAAGCAACAATCTTTTCAGCACCTAATGATATCTAAGAAAGATCACAAGAGCCTGAGCAGAAAAAATTAAACTTAAATACCTAGCATCTTTTTAAAGATCTACCATCACGAGAAGGTTAAAAAGAGAGAGAGGGTTGCCTGATACTCACAAACATAGACAAGTTCAGACACCCTTTTTACGTTTACTTAGAATTCTTACTCTTCTCCAGTGAAAGACTACCAGTTTACATTGAGAAGACATTTTTCTTATGCCAATGATTGCAGACCCCCAGCAGATGACAACAAATTGAGATAAAAGTATAGATATATAATGACAACCTTCTCTTTATTGTCTGTACCCTCGATGTTCACCTGCTGTAGTATAGGTAAAGACCTCCTTCATGAAAATAACATAAATGTGTCAAGTAAAAGCCAAGTCATGAGCTTAGAAAACATTAATGAAGGATATATGGGACACGTTAGAAACCTTGATGGCGGTAAATCATTCCTTCCAGTTGGCCTCAATAAACCAAACAGAAAAGGGTTAAAATTTTAAGACAACAACAGTGATTTAATATTACTTTCATCATAGAAGACATAGCATATATAAGTATATTGAAGATACTAAAATACCTGATTCCAGTGGTAACTGATTTACGGCCTTGAATTCTGGTCTTTCGGCCATCAAATGAGGCTTTTGTATCTTTGAATGGTGCTATACATGCATAAAGGAAATATATTATTTTGTAACTAACAAATCTTTTTCTTTGTACTATTAGTTCAAAAATTCTCACCCCGTGTCAAGATTTGCTTGTCACCAGTAGCTCCGTTCAAGTTTGGCCTCACATTTCCCTAGTTTGTACGAAAAAGCAACAGTCTTTTCAGCACCTACTGCTATCTAAGAAAGATCACAAGAATCTGAGCAGAAAAAAGTTGCTAATACTTAAAATACCTAAGCATCTTTTTAAAGATCTACCATCATGAGCAGGTTAAAAAGAGAAAGATGGTCGTGTGATACTCACAAACACAGACAAGTTCAAACTTCATTTTTACGTCTACTTAGACTTCTTGCTCTTTTCCAGTGAAAGACTTGCACCTTTCTCTGCTTCTCTGCCCTTAAGGGAGGATATCTTAACAAAATAAAATGGTTTAATTTTTTAAATGGTCTTTAATGTCACCAGGACCAGCTCATGTCCTCTACAATGTTAATGATTACAAGTCAAGCTGTAAATAATAAAATTAGCTACATATGCAAAAATATTACACATAAAGTTACTAATATCAAGGGGAATAATCTCGAGAGGTATGTGTTGGTGGGGTTAAACCTAACTACTTGAGCTAGGTCTCATTGGCAAGACTACTCCAATTTTGTTTTCAATATATTTATTATTCTTTTCTAGGCAAAACACAAAGAAGGTTTTTGTTCGCAGAAATGGGTGCACATAAAGAGCCTCTAACAGCAAGGTTTTGTTCATGTCTTGCTAGCCATAGCTATTATACAAAGCAAAGAAAAGACAAGGGGATGCGGACCAGGAATCTTGTCCAGAAACGCCGAACGTTTGGAGCCCTTGTCTCAAAGGACCAGACAACTAAATCAGTGTCCTTCAGAAACAACTCTTATGCACTCAATCCCAAGCACATTGAGGCTGGCTACATGAATCTCACTATCCATGTTGCTTCATTTAAACGGGCCTTGGTCCAGTAATACAATATTATTATGGATATTAGTTTCTCTAACACTAGAAGTTCTCTAATTCTTCTACTGGCATATAAATTTCTAACAAGACGACTAAAAGGTTCCAGCAAACATTAGACCTAAAGTAAATGTACTAGCATGTCTAAAACTTAATCCTAGCTAATTGGTTTGCCTACATAGATCTTTTTCTTCCATTCTGTCCTATTCCTCGCTAGGTCTTCATGGATTCCGAGATTGTAGGTCTTTTGAAACAACTTTCTTCCATGTGATTTAGGCCTACCTTGTACACCTATGGACCAGGGCATCTAGAGGTCGATATAGGACAAGAAATCCATCTCAAGGGACATTTTCTCATTTTATCCTTTGTATGCTACTTGCACCTTCCACAGAATGTGGTCATTTTTTATCTTGTCTAATCTTGTATGACACAAGTCTATCGAAGCATCCATATTTCTGTGACACACATATATTGTGGATATGTTAAACTTTAGAGGCCCAACATTTACTCTCATATAACATTGATGGTCTTACAACTCTTCTACTGAACTTGCCTTTCACTCTACTAGGTATATTTCTATCGCATAACCTAAGTTGCTCGGACACGGATGCGGGTGTCCGACACTGGTGCAGATCTATAGGTCGGATCTTTCAAGATGTAAATTTTAAGATTAGGGGATACGGATCCTAGTACGGATACGGGTGCGGGGATCAGCCTAAAAATAATTTTAAAAAATAAAAATCTCTCTAATTTATGAGAAATTTTGTGGAATACTTACGTATTAGCTTGTAAAGTGTGAATTTTCTTTTTATTCTCAAGTTGTAGGAAAGTAAAAGATTGATTTCCTAGATAAGATATGCTATTTTCTTCAAATTTACCCTAGTTTTAGTTCTGATTTCGGTAATCAAATTGTATCTCGTCTCGAACTTTGATGTCTGTCGTGGTCAAAGTACCCAAAATTGTTTGACCAGATCCGGTACGGATCCCATACCCACACCCATACTAGTGTCGTGTCGACACGGGTACGGCACCTAAACTGCCATGTCGGAGCAACTTAGCGCATAACACTATGGTAGCACTTCTCTATTTCAACCATCCTATTTTGATTCTGTGTGTAGCATATTCATCTATCATATGTTTCTCTTGAAACATCGAGCCTAGATATCTTCATTGTTCGAATTTAGGCATCGCAACCTGTCTACTCTCACCTTAATTTCACTCTTCTTATGCTGGCTAAACTTGCAAGCATATATTCAATCTTACTTCTACTAGTTCTAAAATCCTTATTCTCTAGAGTGTTTCTCCACAGTTCAAACTTTTGGTTTACACCCTCGCCAGTTTCGTTTATTAACACAATATCGTTTGCATATGGCATATACCGTGGAACATCTTCCTATATAATGTTAATAAGCTCATCCATAACTAGGGTGAAATACGTACGGGCTCAATGTCAATCCCTACAATAAAGCCGTGGTATGAGAAACTCCTTTGTATCTTCTATTATTGTTCAAATAATGTTATAAATATAGATTAAGAATTCAGTCATAAACTACTTTTCCCTTCAAGAATAAATGCTTAAAACCTGGGGATAAAAAGAAGACATGAGATGGCTAAACAAGAAAATAAAAGAGCCATATAGAATAGTATTAAAATATGTAGTTGTTTGCATACCATGATAAATTTTCTTGCTGAATTGCTTGCATTTTTTGGGCATTTACCATTTGACACCCTAAAAAGCAAGTGAAAAAAGTAAGCATATATTACACGATTGTGTTAAGAAAACCGAAGCATCTCGAAACAAAAAAGATTTAAAAGAGGACAAGATAGACATCGTGAAGCACCTAAAGATATGAAACTAAAGAACCAAAATATCAGTAAATGGAGTCAGATCATGCCAAAACTAAGCTCAATCAAATGGAGGCGATTAATGATTTTAGAAACCATAGGAAGTTCAAACTATAATCTTTTCAATATAGTTCTTATGACGGTGGTATTCGGGCCAGCTTGTGCGCACCTCGACTATTCTACCAGCTTGGGAAAAGATGGATTGTTTTCAGTAAAATCATATTATCATAAACTTTTAGGGAGGGAGAGCCTGGGATGCCATTGGCACTCATGTGGATCCTATGGAAAGTAAACAGGAGAGCTTTTGATGGAATAGAGAATGACTATGCACGCTTGAGGAATAGCCTCTCATTTCTAGTTTCTTTTTTGTGTACCCATGAGGTTCCAACGTGTATAAGGGATAGGGTGTCGTTCGTGGAGAATAATATTATAATGTATATTGTATATTCTATATATTTAGTATACTACTTGTATATTGGATGTTTCCCCATTATTTATAAAATCATTTGCTTTATCAAAAAAAAAAAATAGACATGTCAAGTGAAGCATTGTATATTCTTTTTCTTGATGTTCCAGAACAATGGCTACAATTTAGCTCACCAAAGTTACTCCATTTACACCTCTTACTGGGTTAACCGCAGTTTCATGCATGCTTAAAATGGCCTCCCAGAGAAGCACTGATAATTGCTATTTCATGATCTAGATCTAATGTGAGAATGGAAGAAGTGAATTAGGAGAGCCATTCTCAGATTTTTGCAGAAAAGCGTATCTATCTCTAAGAATTTTAATTTGCCCTATATCAATTTTCCCGTAAAAGTATAACTAAGGACTAGAACACAAAACACTAGAAAACCTCTTTCAGGAGAGAAATGACAGGATGTTAATCAATCACTTACAGCAGTTTGGAGCTATTATATGATTTGGTTCTCGAAGAGTTGCCCCTGATATTGCTGATATCTGTCAATACTTTTCTTTTGACATTTACCTTAACTGCAAATACAAAGTGTACCTACTAATAATGGTTCTGAAAACATGAAATGTAGTAACTTTACCAAACAAATTTCACAAAACTTACCAGAAGTACTGCATTTTGCTTTTATCCTCTCTATGTGCTTGATATCACTCTGTTGAAAAAATGGAGATTGATGGACCAAGAGAAAGTATGAAATCAAGATCTTGTGGTATGATGAATTAATTTATTTTACCATCGCATGAATGCTGTTAACAAGTTTAGGAAATAACGCTCACAGGATACAACAAAACTTTATGAATTCTGCACTGTCAGACACATCGGAACCAAAGTTCAGAGAGGTGAACCCCTACCCATTGTTAGAAAAGACTAAATAGTAAAGTGGCTAGTTTTAATGCCACACTTATAAAGTAAGGCGCCTTACTTCGAACCAATGCTTAACAGTACTATCAAAGGAGAAAAGCGAAAAAAAGAAGTGCACACGTCTGTTGGGGCTTTAATCTCAATGTGCTGATAAAGTGAGATCGGCACAAATGAAAATAAAAGATATACATGTAATTCAAGAATGATAACTATAAACCACGAACAATAACTATGAAAAATGGTATTAGAAAAATCATCATTAGGAGAAATACATATTGTTCAGTTCTGCCAATTTCAAGATAATACACATGGTGACAAAATGCACGTCTCAGTGTCTTGGTGCCGGAACTAAAGGACTGCCTAAGCGAGGCAAAGAACTCAGCCTGTTTTGCATCTAGTTTTAGGCTTACGTGTGACCCAAGTGAGCCTTTGATAACACAGGCATCTAGGCTACAGGTATGTTTTCTAAAAACCACAAGCTTTCACCGTATGTCATCACAGTAGTTTTTTTGTTTTTTTATTAATTATGTCACCACAGTAGTTCTTTTACCGAAGGGTCGCCAAGGTTGTTATTTAACAAAGGTCACTAAGATAGTTATTTAGGTTTTTCACAACAAAAATCACCTAGATGACAGACATTTTTAATAAAACAATTGTCATATTTGTTCTCAGCAATAACATCTTCTCGGTTGTGTTAGTACACTACCATAAACAACAGAGTGACCTTGGAGAAAATTAGGGCAAATTTGTTTAATGTACAGATAAGAGACAAGTGAATTACTAACAAAATATAACCGTGACTGCCCGGAATAGGCAACTTATTTTCGAAAAAGAAAGAAAGGAAATATGGCAAACCTCCGAGCTCTTCCGACTGGTCTGCACATCACTCATGTTAGGCGCACCAGACATTCCCCTAAAAACAAAAACAAAAAAAGAAAGTCTAAGTTTTTGTCCGCTTTCAACCACCACTGGTAATATATTTTTTCCCCGAAAATCTCTTGGTTTAAACACCCAAGAAATACAAGATAGTAGGCTTACTTGCAGCGCCTGCTGAGAGAATCACGGCTTTGGATTTTTATCTTATCTGCCTCTTCGTAAACCTTGAGTTCTGTAACTCCATCTGTAGATGAAGCAGTTTCAATTTTAGAGTATAGTAAGCGGGACTCTAGTCCCTTTTTGAAAAGAAAAAAAAAAGGAAGGTACAGAACAGGATAATAATAGTAGTAAAAGTCAGAGTGAGAAAGAGGTAAGAGTTGATGAAGTAGAATGAAGCACCTTTTATGGTGGATATATGTTTCTGCGAGTTCAATTTACCCTAAACACATCAAAATTACAAAAAAAAAAAATCAGTAGTAAGTAAACCAAAACTCTACACACATGACGAGATTAGGAAAATGTACCATTAAAGCCACGGTTGGAAGAATGCGATGCGCCTCTTTGTTTGAAGATTATTATGAGTTCAAACGGATCTATGGCCCAAATTTAAGAGGTTCAATTGAACAAAGTGCATTGTGCTTACAGGAATTGGAAATGGGGAGCGGGTTTTCCACGGTTTTTGAATTGCTAATGTGGCTTTTTACAATAATGTCCTCTACTTGTTGCCCGCCCAAACAGGTGGAAATGGCGTGGGCAGCCACTTTTTATGTTGTTATTTTATTTTTATCCGGTATTAAAAATAGCCATTATTCTTTACGAGTGTTGTGTATCATAAAATTAAGGATATAATGTCCTAAAATTTAACAACAGAAAATACAAATATAAGATATTTTATTCTTATTATTTATACAATACTTGTGAAGTTAAGGATATTGTATCCTTAATATTTATACTGTACACATGAAATTAAGAACACCGTGTCCTGCTGAGTGAGAAAAATAGTTGTTTAAGAAGGAGATTCACTTTCTCTCTTGCACCACATGCGAGAATCAATTAACAGAAGAGTCGAGAAACATAAATTTCTAGAATAGCCATAAACATCGATGGAGGATGAAATTTAGCAGCAAAGTAGTTGATTGGGAAATGGTAAGAAAAATCCCAAACTTTAGATGCAAACAGTAGACGGGGCAGTAAACAAAAATTTGTGGAGGAGTAAATTTAGCCCAAATTACACGGCTGAGCATTTCTAAAAAAATATTTAAGAAAAGAATATCATTTGTTGTTTATTCCAGAAATGGCAGATTTTTTTACAATAATATTAGCATATTATATAAATTATGCACATAATTAATGAGGCACAAATCATGGAATATGTTACAAGTATGAGCAGATACTTTCTATATTCAGTTTTCCATTTATAATTTATTCAGGATTGATGGTTTATAATATAGATATATCATTTATAATTGAGGGGCCCATTTTTTATAAATAATATATATTTTATAGGTATTTAAAAAATAATATGTAGTGGAGTAGTATTTTTGTGTTTTTCATATAAATGGAAAGAAAACCTTTTAGAGTAAATAAAGTAAAATTTTGACTTACTTAAAAATGATAGATGAATAATTTTCAATTTGAATTGATTTAATAATTTTATTTTTTACTCCTTCTTTTCCAATGTTTCAATCTTACTCTTCATATTCCAATATCTTCTTCCTTTCTCTTTATTCTTGCTCACCTTCTTCAATTCTTTCTCCAATATTTTTTTCTTTCTCCAAAATTTTATTTTTCACCTTCTTTCTCCAAAAATTTATTAATTCAAGTGTTCAATAATATTTTTAAGATTTCAATAGTTCTATACTTCTATTACTTTATAAAAAATATAGTATAGTTTTCAAAATTTACAGGAAGAATTTTGAAGTAGACAAGCAACAACTAAAAATTTTGGACTCAAAGTCTTCATTCTTTAAACTTCCTGAATCAGTAATCGGGTAATATCTTTCTAGTATTGTTTTTATTTGATATTTGGTATTTCATTAATTTTACTTCATACATATCATTTAAGTTTTTTAAAAAAAATTAAATACTTATGCCTCACATTTGGCTTTAGGCCCCAAATGCCCTTGAGCCGCCCCTGAATACACAAGTGCATATATATATATATATATATATATACAATAATATATTCCATATATGTAATATTATACGATAAATATACGAGTAAATCATAAAATTAATTCTATGCCCAAAATACATCATATATCACTATGCATATCCAAATAGTTATATATAATATGTATATATCAGTTTTTTGTGTGCAAATTTATATATCAGTTATATACGTTGTATATAATATAATAATAATATACAAATAGTATAATATTAAATAATATTTATACAACTAAAATATACTCCAAATATTATATATTATTTATATAACTATTATATAGGAGTACTATATAAATTATACTTATTATTTTTAGGAGTATAAAAGAAATCAAATACAATAAAAATTAAACATGTAAAGAAAACTTCCCATCACGTTCCCAAATTTGAAAATCTTCGTTTTTCTTCGTTTAAAAAAAAAAGATAAATTAAAAGGAGAAACCAAAAAGGAAAAAAAAAAAAAGGCAATAGGAAGTGAACACAGTAATGAGGTCTAATGGTTGTGCAATTTTGTTCCCTATAAATTAGCTAAACGCAGTAACTTCACATTAATTACCTTTCAACATTTTTAGGACTTCCACAAAAAATAAGCAACTAAAAATGATAAGGATTGAGAGATCCATTAATTAATTGATTATATTTATGCTAGGAATGTAGTTAATTAGCTGCTAGTTTTGTAATTGCTTACTCCTGCTAAGATTCTGAATTTTTTTCTTAAATATTAACTAATTATGATTTTCCCCCGTAAATTTACTGGTAGAGGGGAATACACGTGTTAAAGGAAAAGGACAAAATGCTCAATAACCCATCAAATGGGCCCAAGTCTAGTACTATTGACACAACCTTTTGTACAATAGATTATTGCAATGTTTGTCCTCATCAACTCCCATTTCTATATAGTAACTAGTACTAGTAAGGTAACAGTGTGCTATGCACGGGCCAACATGATTAATTTGTGAAGTATATAGTGAAAGATTGTGAACAAACATATGATAACTTTATAATATCATAACTGTTACTGATTGTATCATAGCAACATATACAATACGTATTTAATGTAAAAATATTTAAGTTATAATAATGAAACTTAGAAAGTTTACAAACTAAACATATTCATTCTCTAAAGTTGAAGCAATTTCAACGGAGGATGAAAATAATTAAACATTTTCTCTTGAGATAGAGGAACCTGCAAGGTTTCAAAGTAGGCTTCAAACACCAAAAGATGTAATTGTTTGTTGAGAAAATGTAGGAGACAAAGTAAAAGCACAAAAACGACATTTGAAATATCACTGAGAATTAATAAATATGTTAACGCATGTACGTTGAATAACTTGTGTCTGGTAGGTGAACTTCTTGAACTCATGACTTATCATTTGCATGTGATAAGATTTATCAATTACATTCGCCAGTATAGTTTTCAAATATGGCATCACCTCGTCATAGTATTTTTGGAATCATAACTTGTTGATTACATGTCGAGTAAATGTAAATTTTCAAAAAGATAATAAGGATAACAGACTGTATCTTTTGAGTAAGAACATATTGAAATCTGTGGAGGCCATTGAAACACCAACATTTTCTATAATATTTTGGTCCTTAACGTAGAAAGATTCATTGAATTAGAGCCATTTTTCTACTCATAAGAAAAGTTCCTCTTCCTCAACTAAATGAAGATAAAATGACAAACCCAAATAGACGTAAATATCTACAAAGATCAATGGATTCCATATGCTTTCCTTTTTCTACTATGTTATTTTTTTCAAGAAACATTCCCGATTAAGCATTCTTCACCCACCTTGTTTAGCCAAACAAACAAATTTGACTAAAGAGAAAGAAGAAAAGTCATTGGTTTAACAATAGTAAAGCACAGTTATCATATTTCTTCTTGGGTAAAACATGGTGGATTTATGTCCAAAACATGGTTGTATGTGGTACAAGAACGAATCAATACTCTATTATTTTTCAAAGGCAGCCTAACTGTCCAAAAAAACCCACTCAAAAAGTTTAACCAAAGAAAGAAAATTAGAGTACAAATTAAGACACTTATTAAGAATTAGTAACGATAAATTTCAAATAGAAGAAAGAAAAAACTTGTCGACTACATATATCTTTAAATCTAAAGACTCAATTACACGGTTGCAATGCCAGTATCATACTAATCTTAACTAAGCGAAAAGTGTAATATTTGGAGTTATCATTCTTAACTACATAATAATTAAAATCAACCAAGTTATTATCAGAGAAAGTGAGTAGCAATTAGAAATATAAATTTAGGCCTTTTTTAAATGGAGTTACCACTCTTAACCACAGAACAACTAAAATCAATCAAACTATTATCAGAGAAAATTGAAAAGGTCATGAACTTCTCCTTATCGGTCATAATTTGAGTTATTCTGATTTGTAATACTGTTATTATAAATTTAGACTATCTGATTTCTGTACTGCAAAGGGAAGAAGAAAAGAGGGCCAACTAATTAGCAAGATCATTTGCACCATTTCATTCACCAATGCCCCGATTAGGTTAGGTTGTCTACATCACACCCCTTGGGTACGTGTGATGACCCAAAATATCATCTTTAAATTTAATAAGTAATTATATATTCTAAGACCTTGAAAAGCACCATGTATAATTTCTCGACTTGCGTGCACAGTCCGTACAATTTTTCGGGAAGTTTTTATGTGAAAAATGGATTAAAATATGAAATAGAACTTTAAAACTCAACTGAGTTGACTTTGGTCAACATTTTGAGCAAACATACCCGGATCAGTATTTTGACAATTCTGGTAGGTCCGTATCGTGATTTGAGACTTGGGCGTATGCCCGAAATCGAATTCCGAGGTCCCTAGCTCGAGATATGGAATTTTGATGAAAAATTAAAAGTTTGAAAGCTTAATGATTTTTAATAAATTACTGAAGTTGGATTTATTGAACTCGGGTCTGTATTTTGGTTTCGGAGCCCGGTATAGTTTCACTATAATATTTATGACTTGTCTGCCGAATTTGGTGAGAATCGGAGTTGATTTGACGTTATTTGGACGTTTGGTTGTAAAAATATAAGTTTTAAAGTTTTCTTGGAAATTTCCTTTGATTTGGTGTCCGATTCGTAGTTTTTGGTATTATTTTGGCGATTTGATTGTGCGAGCAAGTTTGTATGATGTTTTAGGACTTGGGTGCATGTTTGGTTTGGAGCCCCGAGGGCTCGGGTTGGTTTCGGATGGTTATCGGATCATTTTTTTGGACTTGGAAAAAATTGCAGAAATCTGCTTCTGGTATCCTTCTTCGCGTTCGCGGGAGGGAGCTCGCATTCACGAAGAAGAAACGAGAGGCAGATGAAAATTACTCTTCGCGTTTGCGAAGAGGGGGCCGCGTTCGCGAAGGCTTGAGGTGCGAAGCTTCGCATTCGCGATCGAAACCTCGCGTTCGCGAAGGGAAAGAGGCTTTCAAGGAAAATTAGCCTTCGCGTTCGCGAAGGCCAAGACAGGCAAGCATCGCGT